ATATGTATTTCGTTTCAATGTTAATGTCGTAACGTCCAGCTCAAGGTCACGATCGTGCATGTCTGTATCTGGGTGGAGTACTCGCTAGTGCAAACCCTTCCCCATCACTCGGTACCCGGAGTCTCGCTAGTATAAAAGACTCGACATCGACTGGCAACGACATCAAATCATCTGCAGCAGACGGTCCAGGCTAACTGTGCGATATCAAATAAATTTCTTACGTTTTTGCTCGAGCAATCTCACCACACACCAGAAACATGAAGGTAAGCGTTTTCTGACTTTGCCATGCATAATTTCATTGCAGTTTGCAGTCTGCACCGCGCCCGCAGTTGCTTGTACGACTTTGTATTTCGTAAATTTCCCATCAGTTTTCAAGATTTTCAACGATTCAATGGCGACGGATTTGTATTACTCGTGTATATTTAAATTTTCAACCCTGCCCATCAGCTATTACCGTACAATACGATGCATAGGTATATAGAATACTATATGTGTGTACAAATTTCCGAAGAATCCGTTGAAATGTAATATTGAAGTTCGCTCAAACGGTCGAATCAGCGCGAGTTTCGTGCTTACTCGACTAACTTGTATCGCTATAACTCACAGAAGTCGTCATGTAGTCTCGCGATCGACGGAATTCGAACGCGCATTAGTCTATACTCTATATTATGTATACTTATTGGAGAGACTCGACAGTCGACGGACTAGAACAGAATAAAGATTTCTAACCGTACCACGTCGATCCGTGACCATCGCGTTATCACGCGGTATTTCATCATTAATGTAATAATTAATAACTATTGTCTATTGACAAAAATTATGGAATTATATCGTACAGCATTACTATTGTATATTAATACTTTTTAACCACTTTGAAAATCGACTACAGCTGCCCCTGCGTTTAAAACGACTGCGTAGTATATATTAATACCTCCCCGCTGTCGCTGTCAATGTGTACTTATAATGTTATTTAATGTTTTCGACAAACAATAATGTACCGTTCGTTGTGTGCAGGTTATTATGGTAACGCTGTTGTTGGCCGCAGTCGCCCTGTCCGCCGTCCGAGCCGGAGCGATCGGCGCCTACTACCCCGCCCCGGCAATCGTACCGGCACCCGCGGCCTACTACGCCGCCCCGGCACCGGCCCTGGTCCGGACCCCGAGCTTGGACAGCGCCGTGGTGCACTCGGAACGCGTCGGCGGCAACTTCGCGTACAGCTCCGTCGAGGGACACGCTTACACCGCCCTAGCGCCGGTTGTCCACCCGGCCCCGGTGGCCGTCGCCTACAAGGCCCAGCCGCTCGTCGCCCCATACCCGGTCGTCCACGCCGCCCCGCTACCAGCCGTCTACGCGCCAGCCAAGACCTTCTACTACGCTCACTAAACCGACCCCTGCCACCACCGACGACGAAAAGGCCAGCGCTCATGTGTTTGATCTAGTTTCCGTTTTTTCTACCTAAAAAAAAAAACCTCCCCCCCGATGGCGACATTGTCGCGATTTTTTACTGTAACGATAATAATTTTAATTTTTTGATTGCATAATGTACATATAGGAGCGCAATATAATAATAGTTTTGATCGTAATACTGTATTATGTAATGTAATATTATATTATTACGACGCGTCGGAACATCCGCCTCGCCAATAATATGTACGCGTCACTTAACGTTTACCTCCTCACCCCCAACCACTCTAACGAACGTACACGGACGTGCTTCATATTTTTGTACCTTTTTTTTTTTCAATACTGCTGAATAAAAAATATTTCTGATTTGAAAAAAAAAAACACTACTGTTGTCGTTTTATATTTTTGTTTGACGTATCAATTGTGACTTGCTGTGTACTATATAACTGAATATACGTATCTATTACCAATATTTATAATAGGTACCTAATATAATTATAATTTATAAATTAAAATTAATTTTGATACACGATTCAAGAACAGTTAAACGTGTATTACATCGCATTAGTTTTAACGGTCATTAGTTATTACTGATTATAGAATTAATAATTTTTAAACTAATATAGTACTTATATAATAATTTAAAGATTATAAATATTGAAATACAAAAAGAAGAAATCTGTTTAAGTGTATGGGTATTGAATATAAGACATTTATGGGCAGATAAATGTACAGGTATGTAAATTTGTAATAATAATATGACAAAACCTTAATTCTAGATAGATATTATGTGCATTGTTAAAAATAACACATTCGGGTTGTTATGGAAAATTGAAAAGTAGCTTTCAACATAATTTTTCAAATTTAAAGTTTTTAAAATATAATGTATATTTCAATTTACCATACGAAATAAAAAGAAACACGAAAAGATAACAATATGCTTTAATAATACACACAAATAATTACAGTTTTATATTTATTCACATAAGGCATAACGATCAAAAATATTTAATCATTTTTTTAAATTACATCTTATTACTTCAAAAGAATATTAAATTTATATTTTATATTTCTATGACATAAATTATATTATTTACTGAATCATAATATATATATAGGTATACCTATATATACAATAATTATAAAAACCAAAACAGAGGAAAAAATGTATTTTAACAACCTTTAAAATTTAATACAATGTGTAGGATGATATTATGTCTATGCATATTAGATATATTTATCTAAAAATTAAATACCTAAAAAACCGGAATGATCGCTCTCCTGTTTAAGTGTATCTATGTAATGTACTCTACTGTAATATATGTTATGGATGAGTTAAATTTGAATGCATTGATAATAATTAATCATTTTAAACAAAAACCGATTCTAAACAGAGACCGTTTATTAGCAATAAGTTGAGCTGCTAAGATTAAATATCATGTATTTTGTATAACATAATAATAATTATATATTCTTATTATTGGATTATAAGTTTAACGGTGAAAATAAGTTCATAATATAAATAGTCTAATATTAGTTTAACTATATTAAAAATATTGTATAAAAAATAATAAACAAAATGGTAAAAAATGTCAATTTTCTACGATTAATAATAGTTAAATAACTAAAATAGTTATATTTTTTATTTAATTATCAATTTTTTCAAAATTTAAATTTCAGTATTTTTAATTTCTTCGAAAATTTTACGAGGAACCTTCTATAACAGTTTCAAGATTTTTTATTTAAAAAAAACTAAGTCAACATTAATCTAAATTCTACCAAAAACTACCCACAAATTGATGAAAAACGAACTTTTATTGCTCCAAATAGCAATGACAAAAAAAATAAATATTAATTAAAAAATATTAAACATTATTTAGCTAAAAATCTAAAATTTCATTGTAACTTTATAGACTATGATTCTAATAATTTACGTTTATCTATATTAATTTAATATTGAATGGTGATCAATAAATACATTGTGTGCTGATACATATACTTTGTATAGGTTTTACATGATGCAACGCAAATCGATTTCTTATTAACAAACAATAGTAGTTTTATTTTTATCCTAAATTCAATTTTTTATCAAATCTCAGAGTAGTTTTATTTTAAGAGTTTATATAATTATATGACTGTTAGCTATTAATTATAATTTTAAATTAACCTAACTAAATCAAAATCGGAATTTATTGATATGAAGTTATTACTTATTAGTTATTAATAATATTTACACTTACATAATTTACAGTTTAGTTATTATGACTCATAGATATAAACTAAAAATGCTAAATTCGAAAAAGAAAGCCGCAATTATTTTTAAATCAAGAAAGCCTTGTACGTATACGATTATAGGTATTGAGTGAAAGTTTCGTAAATACAATAAAAATTATACTAAGTTAAGAAAAATAAATATGAGTATATTACCGTGTTCGTAAATAATTTATTCTTTTGAATTTTAAACGAAATTCACTTTAAAATTTAAAAGATAGGCAAAACTATAAGACATTATAACATTATATTTAAGTCTTTGATTGAATGCAAATTAAGGAGTTCAATATAGGCAATATACAGTTTTTTCATATTGTTTTAATGTACATGACGTAGTAGCTCTCATATTTTTAAAGGCACCACAAAATCACATACCGTAGTAAATTTCAATCATAATATATTCAAAAGAAATAAATTACTGCCAGTGACTCAGTGTTCTGTGGCAAACACGAAATTGGTGTACCGTTTGATTCGTTATAATATTCTATACTAGTCAAATTTAAGCTCCAATAACTTAATTAATATCAAAATATTCTTTAACTTTACTTGAATAGTTTAAAGAATATTTTCTTAATTTTAACTTCAAATGCTTATAAAATAAATCATATCATCTATATATCTTTAATATTTTTAAATATCTATAATAATAAATTATGAGGAATCTATAATAAATATTCTAGTTTTTTGACCTACCAAAAATGTTTTTATTAACAATAGTTAAAAAAATTTTTTATTCTATAAGCAACTCAAAATAATAAAAATATTTTGAAAAAATATTTACCAAAGAAACTTATTTCATATTTGGTTACAACCACATGTATTGTAAAATACTACATATCTGGTAATAATCCTGGTGATATAAACTAGGTATGTATTCATGACCAGGTTTTTGGTTTTAAACAGATATTGTTTCTTACTTTTCAATTCTCACAATATAGAAAATATTATAGATTTTCAAAGCATTTAGTACGCAATTTGTATTCACGAAATAACACATAATTCAATGTTACAAACAATTTAAATTTTAGCACCATTACAAACCAATATATCCATTGCTTTTTTAAACATTTTTTTGTTCCGTAGTATGTAAAATTTGTAGTAACTTTCATTACATATAGGTACACGGTAAAATAATGAGGCATGTCCAATTCGCCAAGACTAAAAACATTTAATTTTTGTAAGACCATCACAAAAATCAAAGATGTTGTAAAGTAAAGTATAACAATAGAAAATGATGAAAAAAAAATTTGGTAATTATCATATTATTGTAATTCTTATGACGAATTGTGAAAATAGGTTTAGTGATAAAAAGAGTTACTCGCATATTCTTGCAAATAAAACACAATTGTTTGATATTAATTTCGTATTTATAGGACAACTGTATCGATAAGCAAACTTCACAATCAAAAATTGGGTTTTAAGGCCTTGTGATAAACAATAGATTTACAAATACTCTCATAAATAACAAGCAAGATATTGATGAAAATCAACAACACATAACTACCCACTCGTCCGAAATTTTATTTTTGTGTACCCAAGTACTTCAAAAATATTCTGCTTTAAAAGGTATTAATTATGTATATATTGTATATCACTAAAAGAGTAAAAATAAAAACAAAAAACAATAACGATTAAAAATAATAAAAACAAAAGTTTTATTTTTTAACGATTTAAAATAGAATTAAAGAAAAGTAGTCAAGTGGATAACAATCCGCCATACATTACGTTTTGAGTATGTCACTGTTATGGATGTGTTAAATTTGAATTCAATGATATATCATTGTATACGAAAAACGATTCTGAGTGAAAATGGCTTGTCAAAGTGTCAGCAGCCTACTCACCTTTATCACTATAAGTATATATATTTTAATAATATATGTATTAAAGTCATTTATTTTATTTTTAATATTTCAGTAGGTTAAACCGTAAAACATCAATTAATGTATGTTCATAGTATAAATAGATAAAAAATGTATAAAGAAATATTTATAATAATATAATTTACTTAGTATACTTAAAAGTTTTAAGTTCCCAACTATGTTTTTTAATTAAAACAAAATAATAATTTAAAGCAGTGACGGGTCGGCAAGTATTTTTTTATATTTGTATACAATTTATATGGAATCTTAAATTTAATTTTGACTCAGCGAATAATTTTTTATTGATATTTACAGAAAAATAAGATCGCCTTATAGCACCGCTGTGACATCGCACGAATTCCTCTCGCAGTCACTATCAGTCCGCTTCCATTTTGTTATGCGTCCGTAGGTCGTAGATTACATTTTTAAATCTAACTTTTAAAAGTTGACGATATCATAAATAGTTTACTACAAAATACCTGTAGTTTGTTAGCTATCATAATTGTGATTAAATTAATAAAAACTTTAATTTCAAATTTTCATGAATTTCGACCCAGCAAATAACTTTTTTTCAATATTCATAGATAAAAAATTTCTATTTTTTTTTTTTGCATATAAATTGTTTAAAGAGTTAAAATGTCTATAAATTCATGCCATGTATATAAAATGATAGTATAAAAATGTTTGCGATTATTCGTTTTAGAATCATTTCTAAATAAAGAAATTAATTCAGTCGAAAATTGATTTAGCATAAAAATTCCCGTTTTTCCTTAATTTTTTTATTTGGTTTTCTTATTTATAAAAGAAGTTTTGTACATTTTACCTCTTTTAAGTACAAACTACTAACTAGATATGATTTTCTTTTAAAAATTACTCTCTAAGTTGAAAATTGAAGCATTTTATCGACTACTTATAGTGGATACGACTCATATACAAAAAAAAAAACACGTCATTGTAAAATCAATACATTCATCGCTCCTCAGCTGTTCTGCTAAGATTTGTAAACATGGATATTTTCATGAATGTTTATAATATTTGTAATAATGATTGTCTTACATTAAAACATTAAATGTATGTATTAATATTAATTATCGTGTATATAAATCATCTATTTATATAATAAATTTTTTAAATTTATGAATAACCACTAGGGTATTTAATTCTTTAAGAGAAGTAACTTGTATATAATTTATTATATTATTATGAATTAGGTATTTATGATTGGAATTCGGAGACGACTAGCTTACTAGTCTCATTAGTCATTATAATATATAAAGATTGGAGGGAATTCCTATATTTTAAAGACAGTCACATAGGAGAAAATCCATTATCTACAATAGGGGAGACTATAATTTTTAATATCGATATGAGTCTCAGAGTAGTCAGAGTCTATACACAACAATATAAACTCATGGTGTAAAATTATACTTTTAACAATTATTAAATATTTCAAATTTTGATACGTGTAAAAGACATTGGCGGAAACTGGTGCAGAAGTTTTTCCGGATACGGCCTCTATAATGGGTGATGCGATGGGATGACGCAACGTTACAAAACGTTCGAGATTGTATACAATATGTAATAGTAATATAACAGTTGTGCACGGGAATAATCCCGTCCGGACGGCCCACTGATTCGTGAATTCGTGATACGACGACCACCGCACCGCACCGTTAGTAAAACAACAACAAAAACTACCAAGTGTTGTGAATAACAATAATGTGATTACGATTTTAGAAATAATAGGTAATCATAATAATTTTGCTAATATCACATCAACTACACCTTTTACCTGGTATTATAAGTACTAAATTATTATAAATTTTCGTCGGCTGTTAACAAAAATGAACTAATCGACAATCGAAGCGATTGATTAAACACCGTCCGAGTTGTGAATTGACGCAGTTTCGTGTTCTGTGATCGTATTTTTCTCGACTTCGTTCCCGTCGAGTCTAGGCTTCCGGTACTCCAATAGTCCAATCGGTAGCGTTTGCATTTTAGCGATTTATTTCGATAAACATGTAATCTGCAAAGTCTCTGGTATCTCGTTTTGTAATTCTATGTAAGTATTAATCATAATCGTGGTCAGCAACAATAATGGTCGTAAAGAGTGATTAAAATTCATATTACGTTTTCCATCGTTCACAGAATATTAACTATAACTTAGCATAATCATGTGCTCGGCAATAGTGGCCGTATCACTGATTTCTGTCTCTCACAAAAAAATAATGATCAGACTGTGTGAAAGTTATACTATTATAGTTTTCTTTTACTAATTAATATTGTAATCAAAAAACCCTAATCACAAATTTGAAATCTATCACAGAATAATAAATCATTCTGTTTTACAGGAAGAATGTCTTCGATGCATGAACAAAAACCTTCAATTAACAATGTTTTGGATTTGTTGGCTCAACAGTTTATTATAATTTCTGGTCAGTATATATACATATTATATTTCTACACATTATTGAACTATGTTTATTTATGTGTTACAATAATGCATACAAAGTTATATTATAGCTTAAGTAATGCTTGTATGATTTTCAGTACCCAAAAAAAGCACAATTATTTTCTTTTATGTAATATCAATCAGCTTATCTGTACTTGGAAATTTTAATATCCAAAATTATTGTATGATATGTTTTTTAAGTGTTAATAAGTAAATCTTATTATAATAAATGATCTTTACAGATATTTTAGGAATATATTGTACCAAATTTTGTTTTAATCTTAATCTGTTTTGTGTAAAATGAATAAATAAAAAATAAATGGAAAGTAATTTTAAAACTTCTATCTAAATATGCCTGATATTTAATATGAATGAAAAAATAAATTTAATAATCAAGACATAGTTTGTTTTCTAAATATTTACCAGTTAAATGTTAAATTTATGATTACCTATGTTAAGTATTTACTAGAAAATGTTTTTTTTTCAATAAATATATTTTAATTTATAGATGAAATAGTAATTTTAATATTAAAAATAATTATAATATATTTAATATTGTCAAACTTTATTTTTAGGTGGTAAAACCAAAGAGGGCTATTCTATTATATCATTTCCTGATAGTGGAAATTTTGTTGATTTACCTGACGAAGGCTATGAAAAATTAATATCTTATATTACTTCAGTTCCATCGTATGTATTTTTATTTTAATTATATTTAACATATAAAATGTAACTAATGAACATTTTGTTTTCAGATTACAGGAAGCTGATTTAGGTTTTGTTATTGTTATTGATAGGCGTAATGATAAATGGAGTTCAGTTAGATGTGTTCTATTACGTTTAGCAGTAAGTTTATTTTATTTTATTAAACATTTTTAGTTAGTATATAAATATATGAATTAGTTACATCTTTGTAGTTATATAACACAATTTAAAATTATGTTAAATAAATTTAATCAATACATTTGTTTTTATAAATATTGGCTGACAATAATTGTTGATATTATAATTCTCCACTGACTATGTTATGTTCTGTTTTTATAAGAACAATTTAATTTATCTATGTTTATTGGTCTTAAGTTATATGTTTAAATATTATCAAAACAATAAAGTTTTTATGTTGCTAAATAAATATTTATTAATAATTTGGTATTTATTTAATATTTTATTGATTATTATGTTTATGTGCATGTTTAAGTATGAGTTATCACTATTTAATCAATAGTTCTATTTTTAATTCATTAATATTAAAGAAAAATATTATTTTTTTAAATGTTAATGAATACCAAATTATCTACAAATATGTATTTATAGCATATTATTATTAATACAATTATAAGCAATTGTTTTATTAATTACAATAAAAATAAAAATAACAGGTCATTTAGAAAATTTAAGCAACTAAAATTAAGTTAGTTTAAAATTGGCAAATTTGGTTTACTAAAAAACTATGAAGTATGTACCTATAGCACAAAATTACTTAAACCATAATAGAATAATCAATCGTAAATTTTTATAAAATATACTTGATTAGTTTATAATGTTGGTAGAAAACACTAAATGCATAATATTTTCATTGTATATGTTTTCAAAATAATATTTTATTTTACAGTAATCTCTGAAGTATTCATAATACAATTTTTAGTTTAATATGATAATATATATTTCTAATAACTTATATTTCACTGATTTTTAATTCAAATAAAATTACTGTTATATAATAATATTAAATAACTTAATTACTTTAAATAAATTCATGTTTACGTTATACTAAAATTATATCAAAGTTCCTCAACGTCAGTTTACTCAATAATTGTTTTAGATGTACAATATTTATTTTAAATTTTCATATTTTTTTAATAAAATTAAATATTTAAAAGATATATTTTATTTATAGCAATCTAAAAATAGGAAAAATGGAGTTATTTATTAATATATACACCTATTTTAAATAATACAAAAAATTAAAAAGTTGATATTACTTGTATTTTCACTTATTCTTCAAATTGTTTTTTAACAATATTCAATTGAATCAAAATTTAAAAAAAATAAATATATGTAATTAGTTAATATAATTATTAAAATTATTAAAAATAAAATAAAAAGTTTAAATAAAATACAAAATCAGTAACTAGTATGAATGTATGATTAAGTATCTAACTGATCTTGCCAATTCACTTCGTAAAAACGACTAATGTAAGTTTGATATTTTTAGCATTCAAGTGGGATGGTATAATAGTAATTATCCCCACCAAGTTCAAAATGTGCGCAATTTTATTTATATTCTTACACTCATTCAAGTTTTATAGAAATGTATCCTAATCTCTGATAAATAGTTATCTTATTGTATGTGTTATTTTAGACTAAATTAATGTCTTATAATAAACATATTTTAAGCAAATATATGATGTTAAAAGATTTTTGAAAGAATTTTATCTAAAATAATTAATTTAAAATAAAAAAATCCTTGAGATTAATATGTAATGTTTGTTGAACATTTCTATAGGAATTCTTTCCTGGACTTATACACATAGTTTATGTGATCAGACCAAATGGATTTTTACAAAAAGCTATATCAGAAGTGAGCAATAAGTTCTTTAAAGAGGAATTTAAATTTAAAGTTGTTATATGCAATGTCATTGAAGAATTACATGATTATGTAGATAATACTGAACTTACTATTGAGCTTAGTGGTACTTTACCGTATTTTCACCAACACTGGATACAACAAAGAATGGTAATTTTATATGTAAAGAAATAAACTAAATTTGTTGTGTGATACATTTTGTTAATATTATAAACTATAATTATGCATTATTTTAAAAAAATTAATATATTTTTTTAAGGCTTTAGAAAATTTTTCAAGTGAAACCAATGAAGTTTCTTCAATGCTAAATGAATTCACTGAACGTTTAGCAAATGATACAGTTGATTTGCCTGACACTAAAGAACAATCTGCTGATCTATTGTGTTGTCATGCAGTTGAATATGGGAGATTAAAAAAATGTTTTGCAGAAGCTGTTAAAAAAGGTGAAATTTTGTTGATTGATTTCAAACAAGATACTGACACATACCATGGTACAATACCATCAACAGTTACTAATGTTGCTGCATTAGAAAGATTATTGGTACAAATGGAAGAAACAGAAAAAGTATTTGATGATTTTTGGGAACAGTTTTCTGGAAGACTAAAGCAGTGTTATTCATTGAGGGCTTTTGAAGAAAATTTTAATATTGTTCAAAGTTCATTAAATGAAAATTTGAAAATTCTATCTGAAATGACTGATGTTGGTGATTCTGTTGAACGAGTTGAAGT